ACATATAGAACATAGTCTAGAAGAACACATAGGCTACTACTTATTTATTTTTTTAATTCCACTCGAAAGCAGTCGCGGGCGACAGCTAGTAATTTATAAATGCAATATTTTTGAAATATTATTTACCCCTTTTCTTGTTACCCCGTAAGTTTCGCAACAAAGATATTTAAAGTACGTTTCGGCCAGTATGTAAATCTATTTAATATATGGTTTAGGTAAATAAATAGCACAAAACAAAGGAAACAGGACGGGAGTAGCGTGACCAACGAATGTACAGACAGCAAAATAATGTTCTCCACGGGAGTATAATTTCATTGCGGTTGTCGCTGGCATATGGTGCCCGGCGGCCATTTTGTTTCATGCATTTTTTCTGGTAACACAGTAGCTTTTGTCATTCAGAAGGCAGATGTGTCTATTTTATACTGTAAAAATGTACGAATACAAATTGTTACGATGTTTTATTTTTAATTGTTTAAATTTTAATATTATTTTTGTTTTTTCTTTTATTTTTTGAAGACAACGTCGTCTGAAGTCGTAATTAGGCGTTTACTTTAGGTTTTGAATTGCTTTATTTATATTATTTTAAATATTATCTTTGCTATGTTTCTTGAGGATTATTATTATTTATTCTATAATTTTAACGGTCTAATAAAAACGGTAAAATGTTATAAATATGGATGGCTATCAATGCAAACTTGACAACATTGGCTTCAGAAAATCCAGTACAACAGTTAAACAACCCCAATCTTACTTCTTACTAATCTTACTAATATTAGCAATGCGAATTTTTAGATGGATGGATGCCTGGATGGTTGGATGTTTGAAGGTTTGTTTGAATCTCCTGAATGATTACATACTTTCTGAAATTTGGCATATTTGTAGAGCACAATCTGGCAGAACTCACAGGCTAATAATTAAGGTTTTTTAAATCCCGCTCGGACGAAGTCGCTAGCTCGGACGAAGTAGACAGGTAGTCATCAAATAAAGTGGTATTAATTTAAAAAGCTTGGTTATAAATGAAACATCTCTCGCTGATGTAACTATTACAACATGCTTGAAATCTATAAGACTAAGTCAACATATGTTAAGTGAATGAAAATCAGCGTGAATGGGATTAAATAATGCAATAAAACATAACCGCGGAACGAGTTAAGTCGAGTGAGTTGAATGCCAATAGAGTAAGTTAGGTAGAACGGGGTTAAGTTATAGCGTGGCCTGCGACCCGACTAATCGAGGTGGGGTGAAATTGGAGGAGGAGATTAGTGATGTACCCGTCATCAAAATTTATCGATATCGATATAAATTAAAAAACGGTATAGGTTCGGTACAATTTAATATATTTGATACTTAATTATGACCTCTTATAACTGAATAAGACACAACATAAGTGTTATATTTTATTTGCGGCAAATTAAAGAATTTTTTCAATAAGCACCAATTTATTTATGTAACGACATCGATACTTTATCGCAAATTAAAAACAACGAACAAATATTAAACCACATTACTATCATATTATAATAATAAATTAATTCGTATGTCGACAAGTTTAATAATTTCGCTATAGAAAAAATCACATGTTATTAACTAAGCGCAACGTACGTTTTACGTTCGTAATATGTTCTATAAAATTCATGCAAAAGGCTATATTTTAAATCATACAACAACATTACCGATACTTAAAGTATCATTTAAAATCATTTAAAACACTGTTTCTGTCACCTAGAATTAATTTACCCTTGTTAAAAAAAAACTACTTCGAATAGCGGTTTTTTAATGTCACACAAGATAATTGGTTTTGTTTACAATCCATTTGTCACTAATAATTACTGATGTAATATCTTAATTATAAAATTAATCGGTTGCTTTTAAGAAACTTTTGTTTAAAAAATGCATTGAGATTTTCTTATTTAAGACTATTGTTTTATCGTAAACTGGCGGACCCGACAGACGTTGTCCTGTCTACACGTCTTTTATTTGACACTGCGATGGTAGCGCCGTCTGTCGGATCCAATGTAAAACATTCCAAAATCAACAACTACTAATAAATTAAAAATTAATTAAAAAAAATTGTCCAGCGGACAAAATTGTGAATCTAAACCATTCCCAGATCCCCTTGAATACACACAAAAAATTTCATCAAAATCGGTCCAGTCGTTTGAGAGAAGTTCAGTGACATATTCACAGAAGAATTATATATATAAAGATTGGTACTTAGATGTTTAAAAGTACAACAGTATCAGGTTTTATTAGTAGCATATAAAATTAAAGACTATGTATGTATCAATTTTTAATTATTATCAAATATTATTAGTACATATTTACATTCCAATGTCGCTGTTTTTTTTGCATTACTCTTTAGTTTTTATTAGTCCTTCGTAGACGCAGTCTTAACATAATGCATTATTAAAGTATCTTTTTGGATTCTTCATTTACTTAATCACTCCTAAAACTTTACTATATAAAGAAACTACACATTACAATTGAACCACATTTTATAAAACACAATTACTACAGACTACTTACAGACATCATTAGTTAGAATCCTTTGGCGCGATTGACGTGCTTTCGTTACAAAGTCCAGTGTCAGAATGAATTGTGAGGGGGCATAAACATCGACATTTTAGTAAGGCTAGTGTTAAGTCAATACACTAACACATTTTCGGATTTCCTTCCTAACACTATTTATTTTTTTATTGCTTGTTAATATCGAATTTTATCGATATATCGTATCAATGTGACATCACTATTATCCGTAACGGTGTAGTAACGGCAGCCAGCACCCCGCATAGGGCCCCGCCCCCGCGCACGCAATAACCCCTACCTATATGTCACATAGCCCACTCTGTTTACTAATGTTCATGACGAAAAGTTACAATGGATTAAACAACTAAATATTTTCGATAAAAACTGTAACACTAGAAAATAACTTTTTCAAGTTTATTATGAATAAATTAACTAATTAATTAATTAAATTATAATCAATTAAATAGTGGAATAGTGTAATTATAATATTACACCATTTATAAATAAATCAAATTATAATTATCTGTTTTTTTTTTTAAATAAACAATTCTACCAATCAATCTGTCTGTCTCATGACAAATTAGCTATAGGCTTAAACTCCCCAGTATTAAAGTCGCTTACTATAGAATGAATATGATTAATCTTTACTAAACGAATGTTAAATAACCTTTAAATATCACTAAATGCGTACACATTAATTACACAGGAAAAATAATTCACACATCGCTAATTTTCTTATTCATAAACAATTAATGTCAATTCGTTGTCACTATTCATTTTATTCTGCATACCCGCATTAAGTTGACGTATGTATATATGTATATATACCGTCAGAACCTTGAGAACTGATAAATCGTATTACAGATTTACATAGAGATATGCCATGCGTTTGCGCACCTTTGTATTCTCGCGCTAATTGACAAATTACTGGGACATGTAATCTGGGTCGCTAAATGACTTTGACATATTTATTATATGCTATTTTTGTACATATATATGCAAATATTTAAAATAAATATACATTGCATATTTCTCGCTTGAGTTCATGAGATATTTTGCGATTAAACATAAAGGGATTGGATTTTAAGTTATTTTGTGATCAACATTTTTTTTGGTGCATAATTTGATATATTACAGTCTTCGAATTTTCTTTTTTTTTATGGTATTACTGAATTTTAATTAATTAATAGTATTCGGCCTAAAGATCTTTATTTACTCATAAAAAACACAAAGTTTCGCTTACAATGAGTATAAATGTAAAATATAACATAAGGGCTTGCGGGCTATTACAAAATATATAATAGTAACCATATATAAAATTAATATAAATCAAAAACAGACCTTAATAAAATTATAAGAACGTTAAATTGAACAGAAATTATATCTGTATATAATATTGAGAATAGATTATTTACATTACAGCGATGAGATATGATTTAAGTTTGTTTTTAAAATCTTTAACACTTTCACAATTCTTTATCTACCTTTTATTCTTTTCAACGGTGAAGTGTAGGCTTATGACGGATATTTTCAACAAAAATAACACTAACTATTCTGGTCTTATCAGACTAATGCAACCTTTTTGGTAGAATGAAATATAAATATCCAACACAATGATAGGCATAGGCATTTTATTTTTTTGTAATCATAAATATAAACGGACAGTTATAAGTCAATTTTATTTTATTATTTGCCGTAAAAGTAATAGATAATTATTTTATTGATTTTAAAGTGATATCAATAAAAACTGATTAATGCCTTCATTAGTAGAGTAAATGTCTATAAAAGAATTAATTATGTAACTATGCATTGTTAAGCTTAGTAAAAACTAGCAATTGTCCATGACTTCGTCCGCGTTGAATTAAATAAAATATCTAGCAATAAACACAGTCTATGTCACCCGGGGATAGTGTAGCTTCCCAACAGTGAAAGAATTTTTCAAATCGGTTCATTAGTTTCGGAGCTTAATCAAAGCAAACAAACAATAAAATCCCTTCCTTTTATAATATTAGTAGATAATACTTATATAAATAAAGTTATTCAATAGTAGCTTGAACGATTGCCCACACACTCCGCTGGCGCATCGATCCAAAGTGGTTCGTGGCCTCCGACACAAGAGATCGCCAAAGTGGCCTGTCTTGAGCCTTCTCCTGCCAGTCCATCGCGAACGATTGCTAGCCTTAGTTAAAATAGTAAAGCAAATAATAAAATATAAATAACCATTTTGATCACAGAATTATTCAAAACAGACATGTTTATACCATCGATCTGAACACTGAAACAATGAATCCAGAGACAATAAATATCATTGACAGCCAGTGACATGTGCAAATATTATTTCTCTATTGAACTCAACCATAGTGTTATGAAAGATGCGAGAGAGGTGAGCCACGACTGCGCCAAATGAAAATCTGTGATCCCTAATTACTACAGGCATGAATTATTTTTTAATTGAAGTATAATTTTGTTCGCAGGTTAAGATATGGTTCCAGAACCGTCGCAGCAAGTACAAGAAAATGATGAAGGCGGCGCAGGTGGGCGCGCCACCGCCCAGCCTCGGCCTGCCACCCGGCAGTCCGCCTAGCAATAACCAATTACTACACGGTAAGGCAAAAAACAAAAATATTTATTACTATAAATATTTTTATTATTTTATTTGGCACGTAATATGATTTGGCACGTAAGGAATAAGAGCCCTCTTTTACTCGACGTGCCTACTCAATTTTGTACCTGGCCATATTCAATTCTTAAAACACATCTGTGATGAGAAATTGAGAGTTTTTTTTTATAAAGATAGATATTATAAGTCGCCAGTAAATGAAAAGTCCCTTTGACATTACTTTGAATGGATTGCAATAAACTCGGTCATTTCGAAGTCAAACATATCCGTAATATAATATTTTATCTACTTGTAACCGATACATCTTAATAGCAATGTTTGTTGTAGGTGGTGGCGGCAGTTCTAGCGGGTCACAACACTCGCCATCAGCTTACCAAAGCGGGGCGCAAGCGCACTCGCCCACGCCGAGCTCAACGCCTGTCTCCGAACTCTCCCCGGGCCTCTCACCCACCGGCACTTGGGACGTTAAACAACCGCCCCAGCCCTCCTGGGATGTTAAGGTTGGATATGTAAGACTGAGTTGATTTTAACTATTTTTAACACATAAAAAATCGCCTCAAAGGCTATCCTAAGTCAGGGGTGACGAAACAACTACACTGCCTCATCGTGGAGAACTGCATCCAGCAATTGACGACCTTAGTCTGAAATTAGAGTGCTACAGAAAGAGACACAAGGAACCTCTTTAATCTTAAAGAGGTTCCTTGTGTCCTGTATTCTTTCAAAGAGAATGAAAGAGATAAAAGATTTTGTACGGATGTGTCATAGTGGTGGAAATAAAATACAATAGTTTATATAAATTGTGTTATTTGTAGCCGAATGCGGGTCGCTCGCCGGACGGCACCTCATGCGATATCAAGCCGCCGCACCAGCAGTCGTGGGACCCGAGAGTCGGTTATGTAAGTACATTTTTTATTTAATTTTTATTAATTTCTGACTTATACTACAACACTATATTCCCAAATATTATACTTCGGCACTATATTCTAGATGGTTTTAGAAACCTAAACAAATTGCAGAAAACGCATAAAAACGTCTTATACTTTACATAAAATATCGCAGTTTTAGAGGTAACGAATTACTAGTAATCCATTTACTAGAGTAAACTAATTATAACCCAAAAGTTTGAGAATCCGGCAACTGAAATATTTTTAGTAATATCCCAAAAGTGTCTATCTGTATAGATTCCAGACTGTATTATTCAGGATTTTTTTAATCGTTAGCAAATTACAAAAACTCTTTGGTATTTTCCATTGCTTACGGATGTATTTTAACATCCTGTATACAAAGTTCCTGTGCGTCGATATTTTGATGGTTATGTCAGGAATGATCGACGTTTACGAAATTCCGAACAAATCCGACGGAAAATGTAATTATTATCTTTTAATTGTACGCTTAAACAAAGGACGTAGTTTAATACAACTCGTTTACCTTATTTTTTAACTATTTGATGGTAGATTTCTATTTACTAATTGACGTAATTTTTCATAAACATTTTAAGGCTTTAAAAGTAAACAAAAAGAGTCCGGGTAAACTTAGGTAATATACAGACATTAACACACTCTGTACATGTCGTACAGTTTTTTTTATTTCACTGTCACCAGCGACTCCGTCCGCACAGAAATAAAAAAAAGTAATTAGTAGGTAATGTGTTCTTCCAGACTTTGGTCTACATCTAGGCCAAATTTCAGTCGTTCTGGAGATACCTTCAAAGGAACACCCATCCATCCAAAGATTCACATTTATAATATTAGTTACATTTGTTTTTTAAATAGACGTATCCGTTTAATCTTTGTCATCGAAGCGTTGTTTTATTATTTGGTATTCGCCTGACAATTATTAGAAAAGCGTTCCATTAACCAAATAGTGATATGAAAAAAAATAATAGAACAAAAAGCGAACTTGTTGCGTGTCAAATAGCTTGTGCGATCTGTGAGCGGTTAGTGGAGGTAGAAAGGCGTGACCGACCGCGCCTTGCATTCAACTGGATTAGTTATATGAGTCCATTAACTTAAGCTAACTGCTATATACAACATAGGGATGTTGACCACGACGACAGTTTACGATGCTTTCAAAAACCGTCTGCGCCTGAACGTACTAGTAACGCGTTTACACTAGACTAGAGATTCAAGTTCTGTTTAGACACAGTCCGAGTTTAGTCTTCATAAGTATCTGCTTAAATAAGATTAGCTGTCGCACACGAATCCGTACGCACAGAATAAAAAAACTTAATTAATAGCCTATGTGTTCATCCAGATGCTCTATATCTATGCCTTTCATCGCTATACATGCAGCCGTTCTGGAGATAACATCTAGCAAAGATCCATCCATGCATCCAAATATTTACATTTATAATATTAGTAAGAAGTAAGACAACAGAGAGACAGGAGTTTTGCAAATGTATACGCCTTAGAAATACACTACGACGATACTATGTCGCATCTTTAGCAAAGCTTTATTGATTTAGCGAATACATTGATAAAGCACATGTCTATATAGAATTCTATTTTCAAATGTGACGGCCTACTTTCAAATTCGTAACTGTATCGCATCAGAATCGCTTCCTTTGTGGACGATCGCCCTAAAGCGTTTACGATATAAACTACTTTATTCATTAAAAGGTCAAAATAGTCTGATGAAAATCATTATAAAACCTTCAAATATATAAAACACTTTCAATTTATTTATAAACGCTTGCTTAATTCCGTTTTATTTTATTAGCTATTAGTTTCGTAATTATAAACGCGTTAATAAAGTTGTCGAATATAATACATTTATTTTTGTGTGTTTCTTTAGTTTTCTACGATCAAAATTGCGGGACAAGACAAAATACATTCGCTCCGAAGCGATATAACGAACTTAAAAAATGTGTAGAACCGACAATAACTTTCAATTATCATGTTCCATCCATTTGGAGCGAATTCACTTTGTCTAGCCCCCTTGTTTCTTCTACTATTAAACTAGAATGGATGGAAAAATATGTATAATTTCAACACAAAGTGATCTTAGTAATATATGTCACAAGCTCACAAGTTATGCGTTCTTACACAGTGACATTATGTTGATATAGGATGAGTAATCGATAAAGGTTAACCCGTCATTAACCTACATATAATATGTTTAGTTATCGATATTACTATGAATTATATGTCATATATATTCACATAGTTCATTTCAACCCACGCACTAAAGTAATGGTCACCAGGGCCGGCGTTAGGGTAGGCCACATTCGGAGAAGCGCCCAGGGCACTGAACAGAAAGAGGTACTACAGATCTGCGAATAACATTGTCTTACATAATAAGAAGGCACTATCTGATAGCTCTAGTATTAAAGCAATCATATCTAATTATCTTGTTTTTTCTCTAGGGTGCGCCACCTGGGCCTTGGGACATGAAGGGCGCGCACGCCGCGCACGCGCTGCATCACCAGGCGGCTCCACAGCCGCACCCGCCCTACGTGCCGCAGTACTCCTGGTACCAGCCTGACGCCAACCCTGGACTACTCACGTGAGTATATAGTAATATACACTAGGGGACCATAACAAAATTTAAGACAACCGTTGTCGGTTTGCAAAAGATGTACGAGATATTATAACTATTACGAGATAGCTTAAGCTTTCTTAAAATTTAAGTACATATTTTACACTCCCAATTAAGATTAATATTAAGGTTATTATCTACTATATCAGATCGTAGTTTGTATGATTAGAAATAACAGTTATTTTAATCGTTTACAGTGAAAACGGTCTCGCGTTATTCCATCGCATGGGGCTCAGACCACAATATTTGGGACCACATGAACAGAACAATTACGACAGCTGAGGAATTTCGACTATTAGTTAATTGTAGCATATTATATCCAGCAAACTTACTTTCGTGTAACTAAAAATAATATTATAAAGGTTATAATGGCATGCATAAATAGGACGCGTCGTTTGAATTTTAAATAATATATGTCGAAAATTTGTAAGGCAATTTGATCTCTATCATTGACAGTCAAATATTTTGATACATACTGGATCAAGAAAGGTCGTGATTTTAAATTAAATATACTTGACACAAACAACTATTCCGTCTTTGTCTATGCAACTATAGATACTCTGATTAAATCACAATAAATGTCTATGGTAGGGATTTTAGTTGACAAATTACGTTCTTTCTTGATTTTCTCTAATCAATTTATTAATAAAAGAAATTGTTTGTCTACAGGGTTTGGCCCGCAGTGTAACAGCCATCGGACAAACACAGATGATAATTAAAATAATGCAAGTATAGTTCACATTCAAAATGGCGGGAAGCGATATAATAGAGCGTTCACTCGGCGCCATATTTAAATTTAAATATATGTATCGGCACAACCAACGTTAAATTAAGGAATTTATTTAATAGAAATATAAACATTGTACATTTTTATATTTAATATAGTACGTTATTGTTTAAAATGGTTACTGTAAATGTTATAAACTAAATTACATTGATAAGTATGAAATAGGTACGAAGTTGACCAAATTTGGGCGAACTATTTCTTCTATTTTGTTTGTAACTAATCTCACAACTAAATAAAATAATTTATTTATTCTGAATTTCTATTATGCATGCCACTATATCCCGAGAAAAATTACTGTCACATTCCTTTTAAATAGAAGTCTGTTTTTTTTTTGTTATGGTATATTTATCGTATTTTGTAAATTAAAAATAAAGGCGTCATGCCATTTCTTGTATAGACAATTTTTTCGTAATTTTGATCATATGACTTTTAAAATTGGAACATTATAGTTTTTCCAAACTCTTGCCATTATCTTAATGGTCTGAAATTGTAAAAAAAAGCTTGTATATTTATTGTTATCTAAAGAGAAAAATATTTATAATCATGGTAAATAATTCGTTGTAGGTTTTTGTATAACCTTGAAATTCACTTTTTTTTACAAAAAAAAATATTACCGTAAATAGATTATTACAATTTTTTTTATTCGTAATATAAAACGCTTGATTGTAATTGAATTATTATTAAATAAAAAAATATGCAAGCTTTAATAATTTTTTTTATCAATTCAAAAGAAACGGGAACACAAACCATGCTGTTGTGATAAATAATTTTAAGTTTATTTTGCTTTCCTAAGACAATTGTATTTATTTTTTTTTATATTCAAGCAAATGTGTTCTTTATGCAAATGTATTTAAGATGTGAGTAATTTTATTGTATTAATTATATTAACTGCAATTTTATTATTTTTTTTCTATTTCATCATACATTTAACTATGATTGTACGCATGGCCAGTATTTTCTTTATTTTAATATGTTGTTATGTCAATATTTTATATTATACATACTGGCATAATAAATGTAATCTTTTTTTAAGAAATCTTTTTAATCTTTGTGCAAATTGTTTTACTAATGATCATAGATTAAAAATAATTTCCAACAAAGCTATAGAGTAGGCAATCTTAAATCTATGGTTACATGCAATATGTACATGTTAAAAATAATTTACTGCTGGCCAGTCTTACATATGAATTTATGTGAATATCTTAATATACTGTTCATGCGCTATAATTATGGTTCTTTTTTTCATTACAATGGGTCTCTACGGGATGATTTAAAATTTGTAAATATTTTTTGTATTATATAGAGTATTAAATATACATATAAATATAGATAGATAGTATAATTACTTTATAACTGCATTGTATAATAAGGAAAATGGAAATAAGAAAAAATGAATTAATTTCTTTTGTCAAATAAAAAAAAAGTAAAACAATCTATGTGTTTCATTATTTATATGATAATTAAGTGATTTATTTTTCTTTTAAAAACTAAATCAAGAGAAAAATCGAGAAAATATTTTAATCATTTCGGTCGTTAATTAATTAATCCTTGAATTAATTTCCTTTTACACTATGATACAAAAAATAGATAAATTCATAAAAAAATTGATAGGAAAAATATAAAATTGCATAAAACCGAAATTCCTTTAACACCTTCACTGCTACGGTCTTGTCTTGCGAGTTTACTTTAATATGAGAATTTTAGTTTCACTTACATGTTAACACAGGTACTTATAAGATCTAGGAAAATAACCTTATAGCTTCTGATCTAAAGCACTTTATAGCAAACACTAATCAGTTTCTAACCCTACACAGATGAGAGTTAAGTCTTTATTGAAGCAAATTTGAAATAAGTACGTCCATGTTTGTTAATAGAACTATCATCTAAAATTTAGATAGGGGGAAATTAAAAAAAAAATAAAAAAAAAACTAAATTGGTGCTCTATGTATGAGCAATACGCACACGACATGTGCGTGAATTGTTGAGAAATTATCGAAAACGATCTTTAACATTTGACCATAGTACAGTTTTTCTTACTGACGCTTCTTCATTGATATTCAAATGAAATTGGAGGCTAAGAACATTAAGAGGCGGCTTCGGCCTCAAGCTGGCGGTGGCAACTGAGTCTAATTGGTGATCAATCAAATTAACGAAGACCTAACCCGAATGAAGCCAGTCGCGACGCGGCGACATGTCTGCCCCTTTGGGGTCCCGCGAAAAACGTTGCAAGTGTAATTAAAATGACGATCGGCAGCCAATTATATGTGCCTTTATTGAAACGTCCCTGCAGATGGATCCGTAGCCGCGATGTTTTTTACGCCGCGGCGTCTCACCAAAGGGATTTTTGTGTTTTTGCAGTTACCTCCTTTTGCGTGTAGCACAAAGCATGCCCGGTGTGCGTACTTATAGTGTGAAGTTTTAAAATAACAATATGAATATTTATAAATACAGTTACATGTCTTTGTGTACGTTATACAGACACATGTCAATAATAAATGTTAATTTGAAATAAGAACAGTTATTCAATGTCTTATAATCTTAGAAAGTCATATGCTTTTAAATATTAAGTTGGAATTATTTAAATCGGTGTTACTTACTATTCGAATATAGCAGGTTAAAAAATCTCTAATTATAAGTATTCAATTGAATTGAAAAAAAAATATTATTAAATTTTATATCTATACTTATTTCACATTTATTAACTCCACAGTCACAGTGGTCATTTGCAATGAACGTAACACTTGAAGTCAATTGTTAGCGAATCGTTTGTTTACACTACACGATGTCGGACCATACATTTGTTACAGTTGTCGTTAAAATATTGACGTATCGAAGACAAAATTATTGTACCGATGTCCGAGACACATGTCCTTAGCGCCTTAATAAAAAATATAAGCAATTTAAAATGTAACGTCCTACATACGCATCAGACTATCAGAATTGTAATGTACAATTTTATTTATCTCTCGTCTGACATGCGGCATTTGCTATTTTAGTACGATACTTAAGTTGGTGAACGAGCGTCGGTGGCTCAGTGGTCAAGCACTTGACTTGCAATCTGCAGGTCCTGGGTTCGAATCCAACTATGTTCCAATGTGTTTTTCGATTTCCGATTTACATATGTACATTTATCCGACGTTCTTACGGTGAAGGAAAACATCGTGATGCAACCTCCACATATCTGAGAAGAAATTCAAAGATATGTGTGAAGTCAACCAACCCGTACTTGGCCAGCGTGGTTGACTATGGCCTAATCACCCTTAACTTAGGGTAGGCTCCGTGCCCCTCTCTCTCGGTGGGGACGTATAGTGAGCTGATGATGACTTAAGTTGGTACCACACTAATTTTATTTCGTGATATGTTGTTTCAAAAGTAACTATTTCAATATGGATATAAACACATAATAACACAACATACTATAATGTTGAGTTTAATGTGGATCGACCTTTAGTCGCGCTGAAGAAAAATTTGCTGAAATTAGTTAACTCATTTTAAGAAGGTTAGAAAAACAATAAAAATAAATTTCATTAGCCAAAGTAGACTATGGCCTCTTTGTTAAAAAAAAAATTGTTACAGAAAAAAAAACAACAAACCAATCAAAATTATACACAAAAATCTTATTGCAGTAGTATATCCTCTTTGCTTTAGCAGAATCACGAATTCAAAACATATTATTATTTTGTAACAGCAAACAATAAGATCCTGTTAGTCAAATTTCAAATATTTCTTTAAATCTACACCAATTTTTTATCATACCATATGCGCGAAATATTGAAACGCCTTCCTTGCACAAAGTGTCACATTTTGGTACAAAAAAAACAGTAAAAAGAGAGTGGAACCCTCAAACCATTAGTGAATAACGCAAGAACGGAAGTAAACGCCCACGGAACCCTTTTAAAAAATAATAAAACAGTCTTTTATATGGCCAGTATAAAGCATACCTTTTGATACAAAAGCATTGTAAAAAAAACCTTTTTGACGTAGACATCTGTTTTGTAAACCGGTGGCGGAATAACATTTTGTTCCGTTTTAATGAATTTCTTTTTATATTTAACGTTATTAGGCATTAATTACTCAGAGTCGTAAGCTATTTTATTGTTTGATGAATTCATTTAAGATAATTCTAGGTGTTTCTGGAACCGGTCTTAATTTTATTTAATCTAACCTATTTTATACACCGCCTAACCTATTTTTTATCCGTACACGCGGAATTAAAAAAAACTTAATAAGTAGCCTATGTGGTCTTCCAGACTATGTTCTATATCTATGCCAAATTTTAGCGATATCCATCGAACCATTTCGGAGATACATTCAAACATCTATAATATTAGTAAGATTATAACAAATTATCGCCGAATGCAAGCAAGAGACCTAATACTGTAATTTTAAATTATAAACTGTAAACTTCTTATAACGTCACTCGTTATAACGTCGAATTCTTTAAAACGTCGAAATTGCAAGGCATTGATTGGTTTACTTTATTTTCCATACATTAATACACTCGATATAACGTCGCGCACACTCCACTATAAATATTAAATTATTAAGCACTATAAATATTAAAGTACTTTTAAATTTTAATTTGCCTAAATTGTCATCTTAAATTAAAATCAAAAGTATTTATTACTTCAGACGTCTGTCTTTTGTCTGTCTGTCTTTTATATATCTGGCCCATGAAAATAATCGTTTTCAATACAAGCTATTAATTATTTAAAAATCAATTTAAACGCACACATACTTAGGGCGGTTGACAGGAGTCACGTGGGTAAACGCGCGTCAAGAGTATAACGTTACGCGTAATGGCCGGTCATTACACGAAATGCAATAGCGTAGTATTAAGAAGTTGAATAAAAAACCGATAAATCGGTGCAGAATGGCGCGTACAGTTCATAGTGACGGCACGCGTCAAAATACGATACTTAAATTATAAGTCGCGTTTAAGGTGATTATTCATTGCTATTTGCCTTATATTTGTAACGGAAAGTTGATGGAATTAATATCTGATTTTATGATTACTGGCTATAAACTGTTGTGAACTTTTGTTTTGAAGATAGATTTCTGGCTTTTAAACAATGAAATTTTGTTGTTGTAATCAAGGCACTATGAAGTTGTCATGTCCCCAATATGTATAAAATTCTTAAAAAATGTTTTTTTTTATAAAATATTAGCAGATTTATTTGTAAATTTACTAATATTTCTTTTACCATTCCAACTAAGCTCTAGGTTTGTGCTAGGATATGGTTTACGACAATAGTCGAATGGCGGGATTCGAGTTCCCGACCTCGTGATCGGAAATCCGTATCCTTAACCATTAGGCTATTGACGCTTCAAAATTGGAACTTTGGTAGACATGAAACAGGTAGGTCCTTACCATAAAAATTTAGGCAGTATTTTAAATAAACTTTAGCTAAACATAAGTTAACTTTTGTATAGCGTGGCTTTAACGCCCGGCGCGCATTTTTGACAAATCATGGCTATTACAAATATTAAATATGAGTTCGTGATCAAGAAATAATGAAATGCTTATACCGAAAGTGTGGTAATACATATTTATTGTGAAACACAAAACTACTTTAACGTCCATAATGTCCTCACCGGCGTTCAAAGGGTTAAAACACGTGTATAACAAAACGGTGTCTTACTTCATTTTTTG